CCTCCCTGCTTGGTCCTGTTTTGGTTTGTGTTTGGATGTCTGGGAGCCATCCTTGTGGGGGATGATATGTCATGATTCGGTTCCACTGCTTCCTGTTTCATCCACAGTGGTGGCAGTGAACTTGTCTAAGAGCCTAGAGATGTATATAGTCATTTATCTTACCCATCATCCAAGAAGTAGCACTGCCAGGTGGTGGGGCTGTCCTCCACAGAGTGAACAGTCCTCTCCACCCCAAATACCTCCACAGCCTCACCGTCAACCTCCAGCTGCTTCAGACCCAGCTCACTCTGACCACACACAGATTAGTTCACTCTTCAGTTAACTCACTGACTGATCAAAAAGTGTTGCACAGACGTACAATTACTTACAAAGATGGTGTGGGTGATGTATAACCCCTGGTCGAAAGAGATGAAGGTCATGTGTTCTGGCACCATCTTCCTCAGAGCGATCAGACGCATCAACAGCAAGTTGGAACCCTCTGTTACTAGCCCTCTTAAAGCAGACATAGGATAAGAAACACTCTCCTTCATCACCTCCTGTACACACACAGTCAGAAAAATGGATTACACATTACTTGGTCTGTCGACATCTCTAAGCAAAAATCTTAACGGTTGTGTAACATCAACCACATTGTAACAAGATGAGGGCAAAAGGGTATAGGTAGCAGCTTTCTTTGACTTGGTTTTTAACCATCATATTAGCATCTATGTCACTTATAATGTTTCCGAGACCCGTGGCTGATAGAACTTTACTGCTGTTTTGTCGTGATTTCAGACAGTTGACTCCTGTCCTATCATTTCTTCTCTCACCTCTCCTATAGTAGTAACCTTATTGATCACCATCTGCCCGTCATGCTGCACCATGTGACACCTCTTGTCCAAACTGTGGTCTTCAAGCTGGAGAAGTGGAAAAAGAGTGTTTAAAAGTCAGGAATGCAAAGTAAAAATACTAGAAAGATGTGGTATAAGAATGAGGGCATAATGTATTCACAGACAATATACAGTATGTGATTTTGGGATGTGACTCACCTTCACATACTCATGGTAATCTTCTTCCAGCACCTCCAGGTCAGTAGACAGGTAAACTTAAATTGTTGATGATGACAAGGTGAATTACATGAAGATAAGGCACAGTGACACATTTAAAAGGGAATGAAACAATATAGGTCAGCCTCTCTGGACAGCCCTTGCCTCTGCTCACCTGTGACAATTGTTCCACAAGGGGCATCATCAATGGCTCCTTGGCTCTGAGCACGTAGCAGCAGACAGGGACGCTGGACTCTACAGGCAAACTCCACTGTCACAGTGAACTTCCCCAGGTCTCTGCCGCCCTCTGATACAGTCACCAGAGAGTCTGGAAACACACACTTCTGCAGCTCTGCAGGCTCTGAGAAAAGTGGAGGGACATCTATTTTGTGTCCATTGCTCACATGTGCTGAAGAGCATTGCCACTAATATGAGTGTAGAATCCAGGTTTTATAAAATAAAACTTGATGCCAGAAATAAGCCCAATGCCGAGAATTAGCTTGTTGCCGCTAAAGTGAGTGTAGTCACTGTAAAAGTGAGGTTTGGCTACTGTTAAATTGTCAATAAGGACACAGGGACAAGTTTGTTATTGTTCACAATAATTGTTGGTTGGTTTCCTACTTGAAAGAGATTTTTGACTGTCTTGAGAAACAGCATATCAAGCAGCTTCTTGTTTGAGAATTCCTGCACTCAATTAAGTAGTTCTGTTGTGGGGGGCATTGGAATAGCAGTTTGGGATTATATAATTATGGTATTGCAGTTTTGGTGTCTAAAACAAGTGATTTGGCTGGGATACCCTCAACAGCCAAGCGTGTGGAGTCTCTGTGTAGAAGCTTCTTGGCTGGGTCGGTCACGTGGACACTGCGCCATTCACCTAAACTTGTTAATATGTGTTTACATGTTTGTCTAACTTTTTACTGTGGCACTAAATATATGTGAACAGTGGAAAGAATGTAAACCCGGCACCTTGGGGTCGGTACTGTATGAGGCGGCCATGAGATGGAAGACAGTTCTTGGGGAAGATGAAAAGAAAGAATTAGAAAGTTGAACTGGATGGGTTTGAGGTATGCAAGATAGAGGGACATTTGGAGGATGTGAAGGTGCTCCACCTTACATGAGTGATTTAAGTGGCTTTTGAAGCAAGTTGCAGTAGGTTTTGAGGCCGGATGAAAACAAAGGAGCACGTGGAAGGAAGACTGCAGGATGGCGCTATGAATGTGCATAGGAGAAACGACCGACCTGACTGACTCTACCTTGTGGCCACGATGACTGACTGACTCTTTGACAATTCTCATATCTAATACTATTGTTTATTCTTTATGCATCAGTGGTGATTCTATCCCCT